TGCTTTACTTAGACTTTTCCATTTTGTATCAATTATCCCTTGATTTGTATAGCATATCTTCTACATTATTGACATGAAATAAATACAAATATTTAGTAAAACAAGAAACACAACATCAGTCCCTTCCTATATGAAAACAAGAAAAGTTTTTTTTTTCAGTAAAATGCGTTAAATATATATATATATATATGTATATATATATATATATATATATAGACACACACATACCCACACACCCACAAAGGGGTAGTAAAAATTTTTGGTCCAACCAAGAGACCCGGTAATGAATATTTGTAGGGTTTGTCTTTTGGTCAAATTTTGAGAAATGGGATAGTCTGTGGACTTTTCAGTATACCCTTATGCACAAGTTTCTCATGTAAATTACTGATAATGATTTCAATATTTGCAAATATATCAATTAACACTGCAAATGATACAGTCACAGACAAAGTTAAATAGTCAAAAGTTAATGCTAGAAACGTGAATGTATTCTAATATCAAAATATAATTATACTAGTATATCATCCATCAAAACTGACTGGTTTTTTATATATATATATATATATATATATATATATATATATATATATATATATATATATATATATATATTCTGTGGGCAATATCATTTTCTGCTATTTCTCTTCCTTATCGCTATGCCATTCTTTCATTTGCAAATCACTTTCTTCCTCATTTCCTTTAAACTTCTCATCCATTTACCCTAGAGCGCGTCTTGATTTGTTCTATAAGACAACTACTTTTCCCTGTTCTCTTATCGTGATGGCAGACCACTCAAACGTATGCCTACTTGTGTACCTGAGCTGACACGCTTTTAAACATATAGAGAAATTGTATCAATAAGATAGGTGTAAGCCTGCAAACAAATCAGGTTATGTGTATGCAGCATAAACTTTTGTAAGGAGAATACATTCTAGAAACAAACACACGTACAGTGACGTTCATTAAATGACGAAACCCAGTCTCAAAGGCGCGCACAAAAATATCCATTCAAAGATCAATAAGCGAGATGTAATTGTAAACTGAATTTTGGTTTAAGCTTTTCAATGTTCGATCGACTTGGTTAATGGTAAAGCATTATCTAATTTCACTGACCAGAAAGGTTATTAATTTATAAACTATTTCTTGTGAAAATAAAGGATTTTTTCATGATCAATTGCCACGTTAATCTAAGAGAATGTGGTGTTTGTATGACCAACGTAAGAAATTAATGTTGTTTTGTCCTTCTTGATATTGACAATCTCTCAAAAGACATGAGAATTCATAAACAATACAGTCTCTACGTAGAGGCAATTTTTCAGGTCACGAGTTATTGCGAATGATAAAATTAGATGTTTGGAATCTGAGGTGTAGATTGCAATCGCTGAATGACATGATTCCACGAATTATATTTTTACTGTTTCTCCGCCGAGTTTGTTGTTAGGTTGCATATATTTAAGATAGAATCTACCATTTTCATCCAGAGGTACAAAACCTCATTCGAAAATTGGAGAAAATACAATAAAAAATAAACCGACAGACGATGTCGGCTGAATTTAATTACCTTTATACCTCCACTTTTTTGGCATAAATTTTCGATAGCTAAGTTTTAAAATCAAATTTTAAAAATGAAAAATCTTTCTTGAATATTTTATTTTAGATTTAATTGAAAGTTTACTAACTAAATGTATTATTTCCATTAAGTAAAATATTCTGGAGTATTTCAGATAGAAATTATATAGATTGGAATGTTAAATATAATTTTGATTTCTTAAAATTTCTTAAAAGCGGCCATCTTCTTAATTTTAAGAAATTTGTAAGCAAAACAAGTTTTTCTATTTTAAAATTCATTCAAAAAATAAATATATATTTCTGACACGTTATTTTAGTAAAATTAGAAAATGTAAAGTTAAATTAATCTGATCTGAAATAAATATTACTTACTTATAACATAAAATTAATATACAACCAATTATTATCGATTGGTCCTGTTCACCTGATCCAACGTTTGATGGACTGCTGATAGATGAAGCGATGAAAACTACTATGGATGACCCAATTGTCAAAATTCTAAGTGAACGCATATTTTTGGTTCTTAACTACGTAGTAATTTTTACAAATGAACACATTTTCCGCAATTATTTAATATTTTATTGACTTTTATTTACCTTTCGAAGGTGCAAAAATAAAATAAAAAAATAAAATACTAATAATTAAAAAAAGTTTCTTCAATTAATTTTATAATTTAATAACAAATGAAATACCATGATTACTCAATTGAAGTATATCCCACACTAATGTAAATATATAAAATAAAAATATTTAGCGAAATAGTAATTGAAAAAAGTAAAACTTAGTTGGAGCTTTAAACTTTTAAAGCTGGATAGAAATTTTGAAAGCCGTTGAAACGTAAGTGAAGCGACCTAATAAACGGATCATAATAATGGCAATTTCAGTCTACCGTACATGAAAATAATGGACGTTTTAAGTAAAAAAAAATACAAAATAAAAAAATATTTTAAAAATAGAATAGCACAAATAAGTTGATTAATCTTTTCAATTTTGGATTTGTAAATTTTGTTTCCACTTCATTACTATATCATATCCAGGAAATAGCCCAATACAGAATTTTACACGATTTTAAACTATTATAAATTATTATCATTAAAATTTTTAAAAAATGAAAAAATTCCTGTAAAACTTCATTATTCATCAGAAAAACGTTATTTCTTCAGACAATAATGTCCTTAATATTACTTATTTACAAAAGCAATTCAAAGCTTTTCTAATTAAGTAATGTGATAGTTTTATTAGATTCATTATTTTTCAATTCAGAGCAGATTTTCTGTTAGATAGCTCAAATTTGAAAAAAAAAGGGAGTGATTTACAATCTCCAAAGACTATTACTTTTAACAAAAACAACAACAAAAAACATTTCAGGGAATAGAAAGGATTTACGCGAAATTTCATGAAATTAAGTAAGTGGGGGGTAACATTTTTAAGAAAATATATTTTTACCAAAATTTTCTAAAAAAAACATTTAAAAAATAATTTCATCCATTTGTGAATAAGTCCTGACAATTTCATTAAAATCGGACAATTACTTGATTTTTACAAGAATTTCCAAATCAATGTGTTTTCAACGGAAAAAAGCGCAAAGAAAAACAATGTGATTTTCATGTCATCGCGATGACGTAAACAAAAAAAGAATATAACCAAAATTTCATGTTTTAGAAAAGATAAAAAAATTTCAAAAAATAATTAAAAAATACTTTGGTCTTTCATCTTAATAATAACATAAGCATTTTGACGATAAAACTTTATTTTCATTAAATTTGTGGCATTTTTCATTACGCTATCTGTTTTCTCGCGAAAACCGGAGGAGTCTACGTTTATATTATATATATATATATATATATATATATATATATATATATATATATATATATATATATATATATATGACAGCAGCGGAAAAACAAATAAAATTAACAACACTTAACAGCAGAAACCCTGAAAATGTCTAAAGAAATGTCCGACTATTTATAGTTAAGTCAAATAATCAGTTCTAAAATCATCACAGAAAAATTTGAGACGATATAGATGACAACCGGCTCAGAAATTGGTTTTCATGTACTTATTTGTAAACTTATATTTTTCTCGTCTAAGTTAATATATTTCTTATAAACCATGGCAATTTTTATATATCTAAAATTATAATCAGTTGCATTACTATCATACACCAACGTGTGTGTGTGTGTGTGAAAAGTGTGTGTATATATATATATATATATATATATATATATATATATAATTATTTATATATTATATATGGTACTTATTAGAAAGCGCTCAATATCAGAGATAGAGCTAACACACACACACATATATATATATATATATATATACATATATGTGTGTGTGATAGAGCTAACATATATATATGTGTATATATATATATATATATATATATATATATATATATATATATATATATACGTATATATATATAGATATATATGATTAAGGGAAGAAATAGGAAGGTTTTTATAAATATAACATTTTTTTACATTTTTCTTATATATTTTTGGGCGGATTTTAGACTTATTTTTCAATATATATATATATATATATATATATATATATATATATATATATATATATATATGGGATAAAGTGCTCAATATAGGATAAAGTGCTCAATATCAGAGATACAGCGTGTGTAAATATAAAAGTGAACATTGAAGTCAACATTTAGAGGCGACCGGCTGTTTCATGCTGCATATTTCGTGGCCTGACGATTGTGTCTAGCATGAAACAGCCTGTCACCTCTAAGTGTTGACTTCAGTGTTACTTTCACTTTTATATATATATATATATATATATATATATATATATATATATATATATATATATATATATATATATATATATATATTAGATATCACAACAGCAAATAAGTTCACATGGTATATTTATGATATAATTTTTTGTGGAATATTTATCAACATCAGTTCGTGAAAACCAATTTTACTTTGAAAACAATATTGCATAACAATATCTAGAATAATGTATCTTCATATATATATATATATATATATATATATATATATATATATATATATATATATATATATATATATATATGTTAGCTTAAAAGGCACCCTATTGGGCGGTATTTAAGTCAACAATATATTACAGATGATCTCAAAATTTTTTTACTGCATTTAAGTACTGCATTAATATTTAAGCTTAGCTTTTAAAAGCTCAACGATAATACTGTTGTCTTAATGTAAAGATATTTTGTATAAACGTAGGCCCTTACTTTCCGTACAAACTGTCGTTGGATTTCGCAATTATTTTCGATTATTCCCAAATTTATTTCCATGTTATAATAATTCTTGTCGTACAAAAAAATTCGTCGCAAAAATTACGTAAAAACCTAGGAATCCAAAATTTCAGAATTGCGGGTTCAGATCCGGTCCGGAATATTTTTAATTTGCTCACGGATAGATAGATAGATAGATAGATAGATAGATAGATGCTGGTCAATGGTGCATTATATCTTGAATGTCTATTGTATTATCGTAACGGTTATGGTTCACATTATTTTAGACGCTATTGAAGAGGAATAATTCTGAACCTAAAGGCAATTATTTGTAGCTTTAGTATAATGTTGTTTTTTTTTAACTTTTCTACTCATTTATTATTGATTACTTAATTATTTTTGTTGAATATTATTCTTACATCTAGTTGTGTTTATGCCTTCATTCATAGTTTGTTAATTTGTTTATTATTTACTTAATTTGTTTACTCATTTATTGATTGAGATTTGTTGTTTATTTTATTTTACTTATCTTTTAGTTTTCAGAATTGTTTATTTTATTTGTTTAGTTTAAAATACTGTTTAAAATATGATGCATTATCTGAATAGTATATAGTGTATATTTTTGCATTTTTCATGGTTGTATTTCATTTGTTTTTAATTTTCGACTTTTAAGTAACGTAATAATAAGTCTTTTCGTGTTTGCATTTTGAAGTAAATTCTGATATTTATTTTATTTAGTAATTTGTGTTAGTTTGATAAGGTAATTATATTTCCTTCAGACAGAATTTACAGTTTTGTGATTTATTGTTGTGGGCTGATCCGGTTTTCCTTATTTTCAATGATAGTTTTAGTGCAATTCTATTTTGTATATAAATTCTCCATAAATATTTAGAAATATGATGTTAGCGTATTTAATAATTGTAAATCATTCACTAATAAACGATCTGAACTTGTGTCAAAAAACAAACACAAAACAATTTTTTATAGCGTATATATATATATATATATATATATATATATATATATGTGTGTGTGTGTGTGTGTGTGTGTGTGTGTAGAAAAGAACACGTTGGGTGCATAATCCGGAGTTCTTAGCATTTTTTTTTTTATTTTTAAGACGACAGTGCTCCATACAGCAGAGCTTTATTATAATATTTTTTTGTTTAAAATATGAGCACAAGGGGTTCTCATGTTTCAAAAACGAGCGCCGAAACCATTCATATAATTATTAAGATTAAGTTGAAATGAGGTGTTTAGTCCAGTTTCATCTTCAAGCGAAGATTTTAGTTTACTAAAATTTCGCTTGAAGAGGAAACGGTACTAAACACCTCAATTCAACTTAATCTTAATAATTAATAATTTTAATTAATTAATTTTAATAATTATATGAATGGTTTCGGCTCGTTTTTGAAACATGAGAACCCTTGTGTAGCGAAGGAATCATATAAAAAAAAAAAAATATTATAATATATATATATATATATATATATATATATATATAAGTAAAATATATGGATATAGATTCGACAGTATGAAGAAAAATATATACGGAAAAAACAAACAAAAATCCTTATATACAATTTATACTGTTTTAATGTTAATATGTCAACGTCGGACGTTTCGGTCTAATAAACCATTTTCAGGACATATTCATAAATTATAACATTGACAATACAACATGACAAAGACGATGTACATTGTTCTTATGTACATCGGCTTTGTCATGTTGTATTGATAATGCATTGTATTGATGTTTTTTCCGTATATATTTTTCTTCATATATATATATATATATATATATATGTATATATATATATATATATATATGTCGAACTAATATTCACTAATCCGAGCCGCTATCCACGACTCCATTGTACCTCCTTTATTCGAAATCCAAACGAATCCATTACATTCATTTACGTGCTAATCCTCCCTCCCGCTATGGATAAAAAGCAGGACAGACTGGGTTCTAGGTATTTATTCTGTCTCCTCACTAAGACGAGTTCTAACACAAGGTCTTTTTTAAGGTGGGTAACCGAGCGCGTACACCCGGACCAGGAACAAAAATTACCCACAGCCCCCGTAACCGTCGGTTGCGCTGGTCTCGGCGCGAGCACCAATTCCTCTCTCTGGTGCAGCCTCAGGCAACTTTTCCCCAGGGCTGGGAACCTCTCAGTATAATTTTTCTCAGTTACGACTCTGTCCTTTGACGGAGTCGCCCCTGAGGGCACTCTGCTCAACTACAGAGACGCAAATGAGAGATGATAATTAGATGCATTACACACCTCTGAAAAGAGTGGTTTACACACTAACAGACTGGATTCTATAGCCTTTGATGGCAACTGGTCTAGGAGAAGGATAACTAAATTTAAAACATGCGGAGGGTCATTTAGGGGACCTTGTCGCACGTAGTGGACCAAGTCTCTGTATTCGGCCATTCAAAATGTGTGGCTGGTTTTGCACGAATAAGATCAAATCATATGTGCTGGTGCCCGGCTGTTCGTTCCTAGGAACTGAGCTGCTTGAATACGACGGGGGAGTCCACCATACATATACAGATTGCGTTGTGCACGAAACTGCGAGCCGTGCGGCAGGTGATGGATAATATGTATATATATTAACATATACTTAATAGGTCTGTTATATTACATTGAGCACTGTTTTATTAGCACCAGCACTATATGCGCTATATATATATATATATATATATATATATATATATATATATATATATATATATATATATATATATATATATATATATAATAATAATAATAATAATAAAAAGGCTTAAACACTAATATTCCATGGTCATAATTTATTCCATTGGAATCGTAAATACGATCCAATTCATCAAACCTACAAATTCAAAAGGAAAACAGAAAAAAAAAAACAACTCCGGAAATAAAAACAGAATTTAGAGAGAGTGTAAGTATGAGGGGGAGGGAGATTAAACCATAACCTTTTATATCCTTACTCTGTCCTAGACATTGAGTTTTACCTGGATTCTTCCTCTTGTAATTTTTTTTTTCTAGAAATATACATATATGGGTATTTATATTTATATATTTTGCATATGTATGTATATTTTCCACTAATATTATATATATATATATATATATATATATATATATATATATATATATATATATATATATATATATATATATATATATATATATATATATATGGATACTTGTGTCCATTTATACCAGTTGGCTAGGGTTGCTAGTTAATCCAAGCTTCATCGCGAATTCCGGGTCATTTGTGTTTGTTGGACACCTATAGTGCAAGCTTGTGGCTTATATTTCAACAATGTTGAGCAGATCGTACTTGCAGTTTCTGGGGGGAGAGCGCTTAATCTGGCGTGACAACCAGTTAGAATAAAACCTCTACGCTCAAACCCTCAGTTAAGATGAGTTGCGCCAGATTGTATACGCAACAATCGACGGCCTGTTATATATATATATATATATATATATATATATATGACAAACTTACCCAATTCCTTATGACCCTAAACACAGTGCACGACTCAATTAAGTTTGACTATGAACAATCCACAACATCAGTAACATTTTTAGACACCCGCATTTACATAGATGAAAACAAGAAACTACAAACGACACTACACACTAAAATCACCGACACCCACAACTATCTACACTTTAAGTCTTCCCACCCTAAACCCCTCAAAGAGAACCTTCCCTATTCACAAGCACTTAGACTCAGAAGGATATGTTCCAACAATGAAGAATTAAATAAACACATTGAAAATCTGGAGCATCAATTCACAACACGGGGCTATAAACAACACCTAATCAGGGAACAAATAAATAAAGCAATTTCCACACCTAGAGAAGGCACCCTAATATACAATATTAAAAATAAATCTAGCCGCATCCCTCTAGTAACCACTTTCAATCCCACTCTGCCTCCACTATCCCAAATAATCAAACGTCGCTGGGAAATACTACATCTCAAACCAGACCTAAAAAAAACTACTTAAGGAATCCGGCCTTCTTGCATATCGTAGACCTAAGAACCTAAAAGAAATCATAGGTAGTAACCACATTTCAGGGGACAAGGTAATCCGTAAGGAACTGAGAACAAAAACAACAGGATTTTCCCAACCATGTAACAACAAAAAGAAGTTTATGTTGCAACCATATTAAAAACACGAATTCATTCACTAGCTCAATCACTAAATCTACTTTCAAAATCTACCACGATTCTAACTGTAGAAGTTAAAACATAATTTACCTCCTAGAATGCACACACTATGCCAGAAACAATATGTAGGAAAATCTGAATGGCCCTTTAACTACAGAATTAATAATTATCGTAAGCGAATTAAATCGACTCCCTATGAACAGTTATTACCTGTAGAACAACATTTCCGCCTAGAAAAACACGATTTCAAAACCCATGCCAGATTCACTATAATTGAGAGAATAGAAAAGTTCAGAGCAGATAACATTAGAAAGATTTTAGAGTCCCATGAAAATAAGTGGATACAATGTCTAAAAACACAATACCCAGCCGGGCTAAATCATAAATTTAATAATATATAATAGTAACAATATATAACTCAACAAATCAAAACCTACCCACATTTATCACCCACACAAGACAGACATGCTTACGGAGGAATGGAGGCCTCACACTTATACACTCACCCACACGATTATACACACGTACACACACCATACTCACTCACTCCCTAATGAGCCAAATGATAACACAAACCTACAGCAATACACTCGCTTACACATATCATACTCACTCACTCCCTAAGAACCAAATAACACACACACAAACACTAAACAGAGACACATCCCTTCACCAGGTCCAATAAAACTGTCAAACTGACCAGAGAATTCAGGATAAAATGTATCTATCCAGTTCTTATCTCAAATAACAACTTAAAAGAGACTGTTTGACCAACACAAGGAATGTTAAAAGATTCATGTAAAAAAGATAAAAAAAAAAAAACAAATGAAAACTACAGACAAAAGTTCATTTTTTCTCCAACAAAAGACATTCATTTCTGTAGTTCACTGCCAACAGCAAGCAGAAATATTTCTCCTCCCGATGATGGCCATTTCGGTCGAAACTAGTCGAGGAATCTAAATGGAATAATAATAAAAAAAAACGAAAGAATATTAATCTACAACCCAGTGTGTCTAATGATTTTAATTTTTAATTTTTTATTTTCTTATTGTTCAATATATATATATATATATATATATATATATATATATATATATATATATATATATATATATATATATATATATATATATATATATATTCTTTTATTGTTTTCCATAATCGAAACCGCATGTGTAAAGCTTTTGGTTTTGTAACATGTGCCTGCATAAAACGTGAGATATTACATAACTTTCTTGAATGTACTGAGATCGATCCTCACTTGGTTCCTCAGTGTTGTGTATCGGTATAAGAAAGAACTTACTTTCTCTCGTTTAAACTTTTCTTAATTTCAGCACTTATCCCATTCATTTTTTTCTTGAACCACTGCAATTCCTTTCTTTACTCCTCTGTCACTCAAGCCTCTTCATCACCCCTACCAACCTCTCTCTGTCCGGTTTAACCGCTTTATAGGCTCAGTCAGTTTACCCGTCCAATGGCCTCTATTTTTTCAATTGCACGATACCTGACCAATGAATTTCGCCAGAATACTAGAAAAAATATCTTGGGGCACATGTCCAAGTGTATGTGTGATTGACTATGATAGAATTTTGATGTTATCACTGTCTGCTACCTCTTCTTTCACTCTCTTCCTCCTGACTGCTTACACAGTTTCAGGTCGCTATCATAGTGTTCAGTGTGCATCGAACAGACAAAAAGACAGACGGGTTCCACGAGTGAAGAGGAACAGAAAGAATAGGCGGTAATGTCGAGGAGGGTTGACCAAGCGTACACTCGGCTCCATTTAGGTTGGACGAACGACTGGCCGCTTGGTTAGGAGTCAACATTACCGGGCATCAACTCTGTTAGTGACAGAGCACCTGATAGCAAATATTGACCAATCAGAAACGGTAGGCATCGGATTAGACCTTTGCCATCGTAGTGAAAAACTACTTAGTTTGTATAAACGTGACAGGTTTTATGGCTGGCTCCGGAAATGCACTTCTAATGGATTCTATTAAAGAATGCTGAGAGGTGGTGGTAGTAAGAGTTAGGGTAACAGTGGTTATGGTGATGTTGGTGGTGGTGGTGGTGAGGAGATTGAAATATCGGGTTTGGGAGGTGTTCTCCATTTTCGATATGCAGCAAGTCTTGGAGGGTAGACCAAACCGAAGACTAAAAGCAGAAGCAAAGCGTCTGCAACCCCCACCCTGCAGAAAGAAACATAACATATTCCTGATGAAGTTCAGCATGACATCCACAATCAAACGAGACGCCAGTCGCGCATCAGTGAGACATAGGTCGAAAGTGCATCCTTGGTTTCAGCTTCCGAAGACTAGTTCTGACGGTAGGTGGATGCTGAGAGAGAGGGGGAGAGAGAGAGGGGAGAGATAGATATAGATAGAGAGAGCGAGAGAGAGAGGGAGAGAAAGAGATAGATAGAGCGAGAGAGATATAGAAAAGGATAGATAGATAGATAGACAGACAGAAAGAGAGGGAGAGAAAAAACTCGTATATTACCCTGTTTAAAGGGTGATATGAAGTTTCGTGGTGTGAGGGTAAGGTGGAAAATGAAGAGGAGAAGATGTAAGCCTCATCGAATTCGAAAACAAAATGGAGATGAAGAGTCATTAGGTAATTTTGTAAAGAAATCTATAAAGAAAATCTATAAAAATAAAACTACCGATAAAGTGTAGTGAAAATCGAGGTAAAGGAGAAAAGAAATCAAAATCAAAGACAAATAAAAGGTCATAAGATGTGGAAAGGAAGACGATTAAAATAAATAAAATAAACATAGAAGAGCAGAATGTAAAGGAAACCATAAAATAGAAAGAAAAAATATAGAGAAGAAAGACGAAAACAAAATGTGTAGCAAAAAGGACTGAAATTTCTAAACCAATGGATATGTCTAAAAGAAAGAATAGAAAAAGAAAATTAGGCGAATAAAACAAATTACCAAAAAAAAATTGAGTGGAAAAGTTAAGAATGTGATAAGATATCAACAAAACAGGAATAAATCATTAAAAATAATAAAAAAGGTTAAAATTAAGCTTACCCGTATTTATATTAGAGAAAGAAAGAGACGTTAACCGGAAAAGTAAATAAGAAATACAGAAAAAAAAAGAAAAAGCAAAGGGCCCATTTATAGAGTAACGATGAAAAAAAAAAGGACGAGAAGAAATAATACTGAAGTATGTTAAAAGAATTAGGATGCAAAAGTACAGAAAACAAAAGGATAATGCTGCTATAATATAATAGAAATTGTTCTTCCTGACACAGAATTATAGATAAAGATATAACAAATTAAGGTTTACTGAGATGTTATAAAAACAAAAACGGTTAAAAGACAAGAATGAGAGCTTCCTATACTCGATAGTTCCACGTGCCATGTCTAATGGATATTAGTTATCTCCTCTTAATTCACCACTCCAAGTTCTCCACTGTCTTAACTAGGTATTGAACTCACAACTCTTTGGGTCCTGTCACGGGATCTAACCAACGCCTTTAGCCACTGTGCCATGTGTCCGTAAGGACATTTGTATAAAAATTTCTAGGACATATAAACTTAATGCCTTCAGCAACCATTTACCAGTGCTCATATTGCAAGTTTTGCTTTTATCAATTATGTTTTTTACCAGAGCTCATATTGCAATTTTCGTTATTATTATTGCTTTTCTCTGGTACTCCTTATTAGTGGTTTCCGTATTGTATTCATTTCTATGCTTGGTCCGCTCAGGAGATTTTTGTGGCCTAGCATACGTGCTGTTTCCTTAAGTTTACGAAATTTCCAATGATGTTCTTTGTCTATGATTTCAACATGATTATAATACATAATACCTCATCTCAGAAATAGAGACAGATGCTAAGCAAAGTATTAAGAAACAGAAAGCTTTCATTAGAAAAAAAGAAAAGAGACTTCCCCTGATATGTAATAGTATATAATGGCAGTGAATGCTAGACAGTCTTTTCACAGACGAAGAAGAGTCTTGAAATAATAGGAATGTGGTTCTACAGAAGGATGCTGAGAATACCATGGACGGAATATGTAAACAACGATGTAATTTTAAGAAAAAATGGAAGAAAAAGAACATTTATACTTAAAATCAGAGAGATACATTTGAAATTTCTTAGACACATAATAAGGAAAGTATGATTGGAGAATTGCTGTCAATATGTCCTGTCAGTTTAAAAGACTGACAGGACATATTGACGACAAGAGCAACAGAAGAAAACAGCGAGTAACGAGCCTAAGGATTTTGGGTTGGCCGAATAGTGAATGACAGGGATAGCAAAAAGACAAACGTTGATAAAAGGTACAAAGGATGGGAATATGAGTAGAAGAAGGATCATCCATTCCCTGAATATAATTTTCGATGTAATTTTCATATTTTAATTTTTAAAACTGAGGAACAGTTTTTTTTTCTAGATTCAGGAAAGTGTCATTTTACCCGTCAGTATTAAATGATTATATATAGAATAGCTTCTAAGCAAGAGATAACTAGATATTTAACATAGCGAAACAAAAGACTATATTACTGAATAAATAATCTACGTCTCTTTTCTTTCCTATCTATCTATCTATCTATCTATCTATCTATCTATCTATCTATCTATCTTCATATGTCTATATTTCTCTCTCTACTCATTATTACTAATCTTAGTGTTATGGTCCGATTCCTTGTACCACGGTGATAGTCCAAGGTAGAACCAATAAAGAAGAACTCGAATACGGATATTTTTTTAAGCGTTTCACCCCAAGCAAGGCGAGAAGCCACTAGGACGCAAGGGGTTACAGAAGATCAGATAGGAGTGATAGAAAAACGGGTGAGGAGAAATTAAATAACACAGATATATTACAAGCAGGAATATATACAGAGAAGTAGAAAATGTTAGTATGAACAATCAGGTTTAGCAGGGAGAACAATGTAGTCTCGACCAGTATCACTATTCCAATGTCTTGCAGTAATTGTCTGAACGCGACTCTGTTTCGGACTGCCTCTGACTCGACTGACAGTCTCCTGACGGACTTCACTCCAGACTTCAGACTGAACTCCCTGCTTCCTCTTGAGGCGCAGTATTTATTACGTATGGAATAGTCCATTATGTTATTATGTGTAAGGTCCCATAACACATAGGAAAACTGAAAAAAAAAATCTATTTATGCGATTGTGTTTCACCAAGCATTCAAAAGGGGAGATTTGCCAGAAAGTCAGCATTTGGGAGCTATTAGGTTTTATTGTTGAGTCTCGAACAAGGGCCTTTGGTGACAGTGAAAAGTTCACCACCATCTTTTTAACGTAGCAAGATCCGCAATCAATTCTTATATCTATATCAGTCTTTTATATTTTTTCAGTCTCATATATATATATATATATATATATATATATATATATATATATATATATATATATATATATATATATATATATATATATATATTGTTAAATATAACAGACAACGAATGTCTATTATGTTTGATCATAAGCTGTTCTAAACTTCTTATGGTTGCTTTAATTTTGGGAGAAAATAAAGACAAAAATTGTACAACATTTGCCTTTTTTATTCTGCTGTTCCTTGATCTAAGTTTTCGGCTCACATGAGCCATCTTCAGTGTGGTTATATTGACATTTAAACAAAGATATTCACCATCAAATATGATATTCTGTTATGGTGACAGAGAAGTTTGCTGTGCGACAATAACAATCGCTTGATAGCAGACGCAGGTCGTACATTCATGATGCGGTTCCATGATATATAGTACACAATGAATGCGAAACTTCCACATCCAGAGGGAGGGATTGTGAAATCGTATAAAAAATGACCTGAGCTAAGTTAAAACAATGTAGATTAAGACTTAAATAATACTCTATTCCATGGCCAACATTCCACTAATGATCACAAGCTCTTTAAAAAGCCTACACATGCGGAAGTATCTATTTATTTTAGAAATGTGTATTTAACTTTAATTTTTTATTACGAAAGAACACAATCGTGTTCAAAAATTGCAATGGGGAGTACCAATCTCGTGTATTGTGAATTTCTAGGGACAAGTCATTTATTGGCTTAATAATAATAATAATAATAATAATAATAATAATAATAATATATTATCATTAATAGTAGTCTTTTTCGAATTTCTTTCATACCACTATACCTACATACACACACATACACACACACACACACACACACACACACACACACACACACACACACACACACACACACACACACACACATACACACACACACACATCTCAAGGCTTACAAACATAGAAATAACGAAAAAACTTCTAGTCTAGTTATAAGAAAAACATTAGCTGTAGTTGTTCAGTTAATAGTCGTAATAGCAGAGAAATAAAGCTGCCAATAATTAACAGAATATTGAAAACGGAAAAGACAAAGAAGAGGTAATTTTAGAAGAAGAAGAAGAAGAAGAAGAAGAAGAAGAAGAAGAAATAATAATAATAATAATAATAATAATAAAAATAATAATAATAATAATAATGGACTTGACGGCGGTGGTGATGTGGGATAGACGAAATAGTTAAATGTAACTTGGCAGAAATCGAAGGAGAAAACGAATAAACAAAAGAAAAGAATACAAAAAGGGGACACAAAATGAGATTAATAACATTTTGGTTGAGTTGAATTCATCTCCATTCCTCGTCCTTTCACAAAATATCACATCAAGTCATGTTCGACAATCGTGGCAAGAACATTTTGCTGTTTAAACCGTAGCCTAAAATGGGCAGCGAGTTGAAAAGTTGAGAAGATGGAGTCGTCCACGCAGACTCCATCACATGCAACCACCGCACTTCAGTCTGTCCTTCAAACAACATTCAATCCTTTTCTATATTTGCGTCATTCCTATCTTCACGCCATTTTATATTCCTTCGTTTCTTTATTCTTTTAACCTTTTGATATTTCTTTTTCTTTTTCCCGCTACATTCAGAATCTCCTTTCTCCTATACTGAAGCATTTAATTTTTCTTTTGTTTCTTCTCAGGATTTTGGAATTTCATTCTTTTATTTCAAAAGCATTTCAATTCCTTCTCGCTAGCCACCAACTTCTGTTTTAAACTAAAGTTTGCTTACTTTTTCCTTGCATAAACTTTTCTATTTTCACTTCTCTGATTTGTTTTTTTTTTAATTTCTATTTTTGCAGTGTATCTTTAATCTTGTCTGTCTTATCCATGTAATTCTCTTTCCTCATTTTATATTTTTCATTTAATTTATCTCAATTTATCTTTCGTTCTGTGATTTATACATCTTTTACTTCTATTTATTTTACACTTTTATCTCCTTTTCCGTTAATTTCATTATCTTTCTCATATCTCTTTTCCTTCTTATTTCAATTTACTTTTTCTTTCTACTATCTTACGATTTTCTACAAACAACAAAAACCCTTTCCTTTTCACGTGTATTGTATTTTCCACGCACAACTATGATTTTCTTTTCTTTGGCTTTCTTATTTCTGTTTCATCTTTTTGATGTCACTCCCTATCAATCAGCTGTAGCCCAGTTAGAGCACTTGGCAAAAAGACGAAGACTTTTTACTCGAACCGTTTAATGCAAAACGTTTGGGAAATCATAAGCCCGTAGCAGACGGATCGAAAAGTAGCTTAATAGATCACAAGACCATTAAAGAGGAGGATTTGTTTTTTGTCATCATCATCCAGATTGTTTCCGCGCGGCCGCCGAACGGGCAGTTCTAGATCGTGGCTGTCACTGGACGACTTAGAGTCAAAGTTTTTCTTTCCAGATTTTTATTCGACAACAGCTTAAGACCCTGACGGTGAGCCTCGATCTGGCGATAAATGCGGAAAAAGGCTTGATACGCATGACCGACTGCGTGAAGAATAGGAAACGAAGACTACAATGAAAGAAACTTAGGAATGAAGGAGAGAGAAAAATTAAGAAGACAAAGAAAGGTAAATAGACAAAAAGAAGGGAAGAAGTAGATATTTTAAAGGCTGGAAAATAAGAAATTATCAAGAGGGATTTAATAGAAGGAAAAAAGCGAGAAATAAAGAACAACAAAAGGAACGATGAAAAAGAACTACAGAAGAAATATAAAAAGGAAAAGGAAAGAAAGATAAACAAAATGACTGAAGAGAAAGAACTACAGAAAAAAATATAAGAATACGATAGAAAGAAAAAACAAGATGAAGGAAAATACAGGAATACAAAAGTATAAAAACTAAAGGGAAAGAAAAAACAAGATGAATGAAAAAAGAGATAAAGAAAAATTTTAAAACAAGAGGGAAAGAAAAAGTAACATAATGAAAAGAAAGAAATTAAAAATATATATATATAAAAACAAGGGGGAAAGAAAGAAAAAACAAAATGAATGAAAAGAAAAAATACAAAAATATATATATAAAAAAAAGGGGGAAAGAAAGAAAAAATAAATGAAAATAAAGATCTACAGAAGAAATAGAAATGCGAGGAATAAGAAAGAGCAACAAGATGGACGAAAAGAAAGAAATTCAGAAGAAATATGAAAACAGGAAGGAAAGAAAGAGAAACAAAATGAATGTAAAGAAATAAATACAAATATATATATATATATATATATATATATATATATATATATATATATATAATAGAAACAAGAGGGAAATAGAGAAAAAACAAAAGGAATGAAAAGAAGAATGAATGCAGAAGAATTCTAAAAAGAAGAGGGAAAGGAAGAAAAAACAAAATCAATGAAAAGAAATAAATACAAAAAATATATAAAACAAGAGGGAAAGAAAGGACAACAAAATGAAGGACGAGAAAGAGCGTAAAGTTAATGTAAAAAGTAGACGGATTTAAAGATCGTGAAAGTTAGCGTCGAAAAAAGCTTGCAGGAACTAAAAAAAGACGCAAATATGCAAAATAAAGAATGATACCAAGTGGAAGAACTCTGCGCAGAGGAAGTGGAAAACAAAACCGAAGGGAGATGATAATTTTATGGGCCAAAAAAAAAAGTCAATAGTCAATAAAAGTTGACGGAAATAAAATAGAAGGGAAAGAAAATCTGAAAAGTCTCATCCTAAAGCAGACAATTATTCTTCTATACGCCGTGTCCGTTTAGAAACTCTATGATCATAGAATTCTATATTTTTCTATCTTTTGTAGTTCTCATCAGTCTTTTTACTGTCTCTCTGTTCAGCTATCAATTTATGAAAGCTTGTTAGGAGGTTTACTCGATTTATCCCTTAAATGCATTTATTATTATTATTTATTATTTTTTATTATTATTTATTATTTATTATTATTTATTATTTATTTTATTATTTTTATTATTATTTATTATTTATTTATTATTTATTATTATTTATTATTTATTTTATTATTTTTATTATTATTTTTATTATTATTTATTATTTATTATTTATTTTATTATTTTTATTATTATTTATTATTTATTTATTATTTATTATTATTTATTATTATTTTATTTTAATATTTTTATTATTATTTATTATTTATTTATTATTTATTATTATTTATTATTATTTATTATTTATTTTATTATTTTTATTATTATTTATTATTTATTATTATTTATTATTTATTTTATTATTTTTATTATTATTTATTAATTATTTATTATTATTTATTATTTATTTTATTATTTTTATTATTATTTATTATTTATTTATTATTTATTATAATTTATTATTTATTTTATTATTTTTCTTATTATTTTCTTATTATTTATTATTTATTTTATTATTTTTATTATTATTTATAATTTATTTATTATTTATTATTATTTATTATTTATTTTATTATTTTTATTATTTTATTATTATTATTATTTATTTATTATTTATTTATTTATTTATTATTATTATTATTATTATTATTATTATTATTATTTATTAAATGCGTTCCGTGAATTCAAACTTTCCATGCCCCAAATTACAGTAGTCACTTTCTGATTATAAGTGTTCTTTTTGTTTTCATTTTCATTAAACTTTACTTACTACTTGCACTATCTTGCTTCAAATAACCTCTACATCTCTGTGGAAATTGTCTAGCATTCATTTCTATATAAGAGGACAAATATTACATAGCAGCTCACCCATAGTTTCTTTAAAATATCAAGTAGGAAATAAATAAGTTAAATATTAAATTTCTAGAAGTATGTGAAACAAAATGGGCAAATAATTTCATCAGCACATGTGCTGGTGGTGACAAAAAATGACATACCCATAGTAATATTTGGGCAATATTTGACGAAAAAAAAGAAGAAAAACAAAAAAGGTTTTTAACAAAAATTTCGAACGTACTAGAAAGGATAAAACATTTAATAAAAAATTACTCTTGTAGGTAGAGCCCAGTTAGAAATAACTTCAAGTTGGGTAACCCAATCTGCACAAACAGTCACCGATAAATGGCGTTCTCACGTATCAAGAATCAACTCCCAAATCGCCTAGCCATGAAGTTCTCCAACCACTCCCTTTCATGGGGTCATGTCCAACTGGATACGTTCAGGTAACTGACAAGAAAATCTGTGGTAGCGTTTATCAGCGCGACGAGTTGGGTTGGCGTGTCGAGTTCAAATGCTAAACGAGGCCGTTGCGTTCACTTTCGCACACATATATTTGGGAAAGGTTTTGAATCTATTTCTTTTACCTCGTGATTCATAGGAGGTTAGAATGGACTCAAATTTTGGATGGTAACGAGTCTAAGAGAAGGACAACTCTGAATTCAAAAGGGTTAGGTATGCAATACAACCCCTTAAAAAAAACCCGTCAACATATCACACACATTTGGCTGATTTTGTGACTGTTATAACCTTATCAGACTGGATGTCATGATGGGTATATTGGGCTTCGTATATTTGTATCCTTGGGTCATTTTGTTGGTGTACTGCTTTCGTATTTATTATTATTATTATTAATAAAAATAAAAATAATAATAATAATAATATTTGAAGATCTTTTTAAAAAGAACTATCAGAATACATGGATCTTGAAGTGGAAATCTAAAAAGTGTGGCTCATGAAGACATCAATAATTACACTTGTAGTTGGAGCCCTCGGATGGAAAACGGCCCGATAGACTAATTGAAGGGATTAATCCCTTCAATTACCACAACTTTGTCGCTGAAAAAAGAGCGTACCATGATGAAAATAGGCACCAACTTGTTAAAAACAAAATTTATCGTCAAAATATTTATGCTATTATTAAGAGGAAAGAGCAACGCGTTGTTTAATGTTTAATTAAATGTTTTAATCCTTTCTAGCACGTTTGAAATTTTGTTAAATATCTTTACTTTTTTTTTTCATTAGCGGTAGCCCAAATATTACTATGTATATTTTAGCACCATTTTCCCGGTAAATAATACACTGATTTGGAAATTCCTGCAAAAATCAAATAATTGTCGTATTTTAATGAAACTTTCAGGGCATATTTACAAATAAATTATTTTTGCAATTTTTATTTTTAGAAAATATTGGGAAAAATATTTTTTTTATATTTGTTACCCTAAACTTACTTAATTTTATGAAATTTAAAGAAATGGAAAAAATTCAGCCTCTTCTTATTTATATTAGTTAAAAGCAAGACTCCTTGGAGAATTTTAGCAAACATTTTGTTTTTGTCAAATGGGAGCACCATTTACCAAAATTCTGCACTTAATTGCAAAATAAAAAAATGCAATAAAAGTATGACATTATTTAATTAGGAAAGCTTTTAATTGATTTTTTAATAAAATATAATAAAGACATTATTGTCTTAAAAAAATCAATGAATAATGAATTTTTACAAGAATTGTTTTCATTTTTAAAATTTTAATTAGAAAAATTTATTAAGCTATTTATTTAATTTTTTAAAAATTCTGTATTAATTGCAGCCATTTAGATTATATTATTATTAAGTGAAAACTATATTTATTAATCATAAATCGTAAAGCTTAATACCAGTCTTCAAACTCCAGAATTTTACAAAGACTTTTAAAATTTTTTTTGTATATATAAACGTTCCCATTTTTTAAAATATGGGCGACCATACACGACATTATCAGAAAATAAGATCAATGACAATAGCAAACTTGAAGTTAACATTCCTAAAATTAGTTTATGGAGAATATTCTACAACATTTTTACGATTACTGAGTTTTTTAAAAATTATATTAAAAATGCGGTGACGCCATTTTCTTGAATTATGTTTGTCTCCGTAGAACAAAAATAATTCTGTCAACACACTGTTATCACTGTAAACATGACCACAGTCAGTTAAAAACACAACTACTGTTTGATATAAAAATGCATGTCTGTGTTATTTTAAACTTAAAGTAAATACTATTTGTTTCAAATCAGATTAATTATACTTTAATCAGCGAATAATTTAAATCAACAAATAAATATTCAGAAAAGCATATTTTATTTTTAGAAGATTTTTTTAATAAAGAGAATTGAGTTACGATGAAAGACAATCGCTAATCAGTTATTTTAGAATAAAAATCGATTCTATCAATATAGTTTGTGTTTGAAACACACCAGTGTATTTGGCTTACTAGAAATAATTAATTTAATCCTTTAGCTTTCAATTAAAGTTAAAATGAAAGCTTCAAGAATGCATTTTCATTTTTTAAAATTCATTTTAAACGTTAGGCATCGCGAATTAGTGGAGTTCCCTACCTTAAAGAAATACAAAAATTGTACTCATAAGTACAACTTAGGAAGAGCTTTTCTATGTAAAATGTATGTGAACTTAGGGTTGTTCATTTTTTTTTTACAAAAATGGACAGTGGAAAATGAAGCCATTTCTGACATTAGATCTCTGGTTGGCACTCGGAAGGAAATGTATACACAACAGAAATCAAAGGAAATAATAATAATAATAATAATAATAATAATAATAATAATAATGCTTGAGTAAATAATATTTTAGTGTCGAGTTAGGTAGAAGCGATCGTCTGAGCAAAAGTTATAGCAAAAATAGTGAGTAATGGGGATAAAAATAACTTAGTGTATGCCACAACTTCGCTTATGAGATGTTTGTTGATTTGCTGGGCCAATTGTTTGGAAAAAAAAGTGCATCTTATATATCGTTATATACAGTATTTTAAATATGACCACCTTTGTTTTCTTCATAAATTTAGTATAATATTTTTCTATAATAAAAAGCGGAATTAACTGTCAGATGATAAGGGTAGCTTTTTAAAGGGAATAGATATACAATTGAAGTCGACAAATACACAATGAATATATGAGCACATTTGTATCTGTCTGCACTTTGAAGACGAACTAAACTTATCTTGACAGAATGATAATTTGAATACAGGAAAGAAAATGAAGGACCGAGGTAATTATTGAAGAGGAAAAGAGATGAAGACATTGAGTAGAGTAAAAGTAAAATAAGGAGACAGGAAAATGAAGAAAGATTTTTGGAAGAACAAAGAATAAATTTTGGAATAAACGATAAAATAAAATAAAGTGAACAAGAAAGAAACCGATAAGGAATCTAGTGAACGAGAAATAAAAAAAAATAATCGGTAACAAGAATGAGAAATAATGGAAAA